GATTCCTATCGAAAACACGGGCCCGTATTCCGTGGCACTCTCTAGATTTTAACATGTAGTTCAACACTACTGACACGATTGAAACAAATGCTGTGGAAAAGAACTCTACACGCAAATACACGCCACCAGGGCGTGGTGTTCTGAAACTCTAAGCCCCGTGGCAGTCCCTGGTTCAGGGATTCTGGAGCTGAAAACAGCTTTTCGAAGACTCTGATTGGACTTCTTTTGAGTAAAGTTTCCATGAGGTTCGTTTCATAAGGTTTCATCGAATGGGAGGTACATTGCACTTCGGGGATGAGTCATGCTGGAAATCGACATGGGCATAGTTTGGGTATACAGGGTTTATAGGGTTCGTAGGGTAGGATGATGTGCCAAGTTTCGAGCATCTAGATTCTGGGGTTTGCAGTTGTTGGCAGGTTCGGGCCTAGGGGTCTCGCTGGTGGGGCTTGCGAAGTCGTACCTGTGCCCACCTTGCGGCTCTTATGATAAGGCTTCTATAGGAAGGTCTGCGGAGGCTTCATAAAGATACGGTTTCTGTAAGCTAGGTCCTCCAGTATTCCCGCTTTCTGCGCTTTTGGTACCAAAATCGAATCATCGGAAAAGGCTGCCTCATCTAGGAAGGGGATGCTGCGGAACCCAGGGGTCGCAGCGTTCCAATGTGATCGCGCTAATATAGATTAGAACAGGGTTTTGGGGCCCATTATACGATAATTATAATACAGAACTCCCAAAATAGGCCCCTTGATTAAGTTTCATGGGTTCTGGCCGGAGTGAGTCAGTGTGCGGGAAAGCTTGTTGGAGCACTGCAACATGCGGAATCAGACCCCGACAGGAGAAGGAGGAGTAGCATGCATTCAAGTCCCTTCAAATTACTTGAACTTTGTCAGCCTCGAAACTGCGTCCACCGAACAGGTGTTATTGTGCTGTGTGACGGCCAGAATATCGTTTGTCTTGCTCTGGACATGGTGCTCCACTTCCCTAACGCCCCGTGGTCGGACGGGACAAGGGTATAGTCGGTGGCAGTGACTTCGGAGCAAGAAGTCGCGGCAAACGAACAAAGTCAGACCTCATTTCCGCCCTTGCGCAGGCAGAGGTCGCGCTCGCTTTGGACGCCATGTCGAAGCTGATTCATGACTACGAGGCAGTCTCTTCCCCAAAGCTCCTAAGTACCTACATATCACAAGCTGGGTTCCTATGCTAGAAATTCTGAGTTGCTATAGTTTGTTGATTAAGGGTATATATTCGAGTTCACTTCACCAAGCTGTAAGGGGTTTTCGGGGTTTGGAGATGGACAAACCGCGCAAACTTGAAATCTGAGCTTGAACACATGAGGTGCACTATTTCAGCCCAGAAATTCGTTCAGTCAAGGTCCCGTATTGTCGGATTTGGAATGCTTTCAGATTGGTGCAGAGTGTTGCTGCGAGCATTATTTTGAAGATGTTTACTCGTGACCAGCTGCTTGCCCAGTGGAGGAGGATGTTGCCCGTCTGGTGGAACAGCGTTAATAGGATGATTGGTGATTAAGATCAGAACTTGATTGTGTGCCTTGCTGTTGTTGTAAGCTTTTCGTGGGCACCGGCTAGTACCATCACTTTTGTTTGTAACAACTGGTATGCCCGCGCAGACCCCCGAAGAGTGAAAGACTACTAACCATGTCACGACGACCGATAAGAGCACCGTGCCACGACGGCAAGACAACTAAGACCAGACGACGTAGGGTTTATAGGGTTTGGGGTGTTTAATGCGTTCTGTGAAAAGGCGACGGCTTAGGCTTGAATCTTCAGAAGATCGTGTTTATGTGTTTACTGTTTTTGGTATGTGGCTCCTTAATGAACAGACCCCTGGGAAAGTAGAATTTAGGGCTTCAGGGTTTGGAGACGTTAAGGCCCGGGCGAAGGTCTACAGGACCAAAGGCATCATCAACGGCTGCTACAATTAGATGACAGGCTTTACTTCAATCTCTTACTTCAACCCTTACAAACTTGTATAAGGTTTTATAGTGGAGCCTCCAAATTTAGAATGCGGTTTGGGGATATATCATAGTTTGACTATACAAGGATTATATGCGAAGAATGTCTTAAACGCTTGAACCCGATCACATACAGACCATAAGCTTCAGCCCCCTAAAGCCTACACCCTAACCCAAACCGTTTTTGATCCTGATTCGGGTTGAGCACTCGTTGCCGCTTCTGGTCATGTCGGAGCATGAATCGTTGGCGATGGTACCTTAGATAATGGCAGCATGGACCCCACTCTCAATTTTGAGGTGAGGCCCCCCATTTTGCGGTTGGAAGTTCCTCTGGACCTACAACCCTCGACTCTTAAATACACCCGAAACTCTGACTCGGGGGTCTTAGCAGGGTCCTTCCTGAAGCTGCCTTCTCGTAATGTAGGGGCCTTAGAAAATTACCTATACTACTATGTTGTGGGTTCCTTATTATAACTACGTATAGTGTAATGGGCCCCAAAACCCTATTCTAGTCCTTGAGGCCCCTTTATTACTTGGGTGTCCCTGGACTGAAGGGCCCCAAGGCAGGCCCCGAGGAAAGAGTCGGCTCTCTCTTGGAAGCAGCCCGGTTTTCTCTCAGGCACCGAAACCTCGGACATTTTCAGGTGGGTAGTTACCGTTATAGGAGCTTTATGGAAGGTCTATATACCTTCTAGAAGCCTTATAGAAGGCCTACAAACTCTAAACTCCCCACCTGCGACAAAAACGCCCTTACTACGAGCTTCAGTAAGCCCTTTCGGATCTCAAAACCTGTCTAAGACACCAAGAGGAAGCCTTGATGACGCCGCCGAACAAGGGACCCCAAGTGTTGAAAATACTATAATTAGGAGCCCTAATGAGTAGAATAGGGTCTTGGTGCCGATCATACTATAGCTGCACAAAGGAACCCCCAACATAGTAGTATAGGTAGTTACTTGGGCTCCTAGAATAGCGGTTCAGGTGCTCCGGGACGCCGTCCGTAGCCATGAGGAGGTCGTGGTTCGGCCGGGGGGTAATCTAGGGTGTAGGGTTTAGGGGTTTACAAGGGCGCTTTTAGGGTTTCTGGGTCTTTATAGGGTGTTTTAAGGCTGTAAAACAGTTTCATGGGGTTTTATAGGCTTCCATGGTATATTTCATATTTACAGTCCTTTACTGGGGCTTGGTAGGTCCTTCTCTTTGCACTCTCCTCGAGATGTCCTCAGTCTCCTTGGATTTCGTCTGCGCTCCCACCACCAGGGCACCCAAGCACCCCGGCAAAGTATCCCTGCGCTAAACCCTAAACCCTAAATCATCCCAGAGCAATGTAGGGGCCTTAAGAATTAGAATAAGGTTTTGGGGTAGAGGATGCTACAATTATGATAAGGACACCCCAAAAATAGTATTGGTTATTATTCAGGCCCCTGTATTATCCCTGGCATGTCCAGCGCCACAAAGTTTGCTGCAGAGCACCCCTCCGCCCCACGCGCCTAAACCAACGCAAGAGCCTGCATGATTTCCCATCGTGGTTCTAATTGTATGCTAATGCTATATAACTATGTATTTGGTTGCTCCAGCAAGACATTCACTTCACGAGCTCCTGCACGGCGCGAGTCTTTCAACAAACCGGGACATCGACACCCTGCAGATGATGATTGAGCCAGAAGCACTCGAAGTGTTTGGCAAAGTCTGGTGAATAGGAGGGTCAAGTAGCAGAGGAGCTAAATTTCCCTGCTGTACTTGAGATCTGTGATGCCAGAACCCTAAACCCTAAATCCCTAAACCCTAAACCCCTAAACCCTAAACCCCTAAACCCCTAAACTCTAAACCCTGAAGCACCCAGCCCCTGCAGCATCAGGATTCGCAAGGAAGACCAGTCATCCCGGTCATTGGAGGAAACCCTAGAGTGGCAGATCAGATGTGCCAAACCTTTGATTGCAGACATGGGTTCACCCTTGCCCCTTTGAGCCATCATCATCAGTGAACAGTGCCAGATGCTTAGCAAGGTACCCCAGGCTTGTAGCAGTGTGCAATCTGACTGCAGCACCACACACTATTTGGGTTTCTGTTTAGAATTGTACAGCTAAGGGCTAACCTTACACCCGAAGTTACAATTGTCTGTTACAAGTTTATAAGGTTGTGGTGGTGGTTTGCAGTCTAGGGGTTAAGAGTTTGGATGTTGAGGTTTTGGGTTTTTGTTGTTTTTGTTTCAGGGAATAGGGGCTTCAAGTTTCGTGTGTGGGGGTTCAGTCTGTTGCCGGTTGTTTGGCTTTAGAGGGGTTTGGTTTAGAGGTTCGGGGGTTGTGAGTTGAAATGTGAAAGGGGAAGCCTAGGGTGCTCCGTCAGGTATCGTGCGATCGGGCCGACCAAACAAAGCTAGCATGGACATGTACCATAGAGAATGTAGCCAGGGTATGAAACCAAATCCTGAATCCATCGTGCATACTATCGACTGTTCTGTACGGATTGTATATCACAGGGACTGTGCTACTGGGTGTTCGGGTGTGTCGTAGTTGACTAGATGGTGTCGGGCGTGCCTCGTTTCACCATAACCTGCAACTTCTAAAAGAGAGATTGAACTTACAGGCAGGAGTTGGAATCTGCGGCTTAGGGGTGAAGCCCTCACATCGCAGCAAGAAGTTGCTGATATCAAGGCACCACTTACAAAGGGGGACAAAAGCAAGATTCAAGTCCTCCAGCCCAAACCCCTAAACCACAACAGTCCGGTGAATGAAGGCACGCAGATTGTAGCCTTTCGAGTTGCTGCTGAATGCTTGCAAGCGGTTGCCAGGCTTTGACGGAGGTGTTGGAAGAGATCGAGTACCTTTCTCCTCAGGCCTCATCCCGTGGCTTCCATAGAGCCAGAACTCCCCAAAAGAACCCGAGCGAGGAATGTGCCGACAAAAGATCAAAATAACGCTCATGCAATGAAAGCTCTTGGACAGAAAAACACGGCCGCACAGATCCTGTGTACCCATAGGCCCCATAGTAGTTCCTTTTTGGGGTTACTTTATAGGGTTCTATATATGAACCCCAAAAAAGGAACTACTATGGGGCCTTTGGGTAAACAGCATCCCCAAACCCGAAATCTCGAACCCAGACCCCGGACCATGCATCTTTAACCCTAAACCGCAGCATTTTGCATCCGGAAAGTCCTACCTGGGGAATCCTCTCCAAGATTTATAACTCCCAAAGACTCTTATCGACTCAAAAGTTGCTTTTTGGGGCCTCCCCTAAACCCTGATCCCTAAACCTTAAACCCTAAACCCTTAAACCCTTAATCCTAAGCCCTGAACCCTAAACCTCCACTTATATCGCAGCCTCTGCTTTTGGGACGACTACAAGTAGCTTAAATCGGGGTTTCGCTCCTCAAAGCTTGGCTCTGCACGGTTTCGGGTTTAGGGCTCCCAAATTCAGGCTTTCTTTGGGGGGGTGTGGCTTTCGGAGTAGTGTTGAGAGCTCCCCGAAAGGCTCCAAAGAGCATCCCCGAAGCCTTAAAGCCCTAGGTTTTGAGCCCCAAACTAACTCCCGAACCCGAGAGCAGCCCTTATCAAACCTTGCGGAACCACAAACCCCTAAACCGCACGCCCTAAACACTCTTGTAGAACCCTCAGCCCGGAACCTTTAACCCCTAAACCCTAAACCCTAAACCCTATAAACCCTAAACCCTAAAACCCTAAAACCCTAAACCCTAAAACCCTAAAACCCTTTATATAAACTTATAAGCGTCAGAAAGTGCCGGGAAAGAAGGCCCAGCAGCTGCCGCGCGCGCGGAATCAGACGAAGGAGCCTGGAGCCTACGAAGCGGGGCTGGGGGCAAACAGTGGTATTATTTGTATATGTATGCATGTATGCATGTATGTATGTATGTATGTATTTATTGATTTATGTTTATTATATATATTTATCTACTTATGTTTATACCTTTTTTAACTTTTCCTACTTATGTATTTACTACATATGTATGTACGTATGTACGTATGTACGTATGTACGTATGTACGCATGTACGTATGTATGTATGTATGTATGTATGTATGTATGTATGTATGTATGTTTACATACGCTTTTGGTTGCTTTGCGTGCCTCCATTTTTCAGACGCGCTCGCACACATGAGCGTATGTATG